GTGCAAAGTTTAGTAATGAACTGTTCGCCCATCTACTATTACTATTTGAACATCTTGTTGAAGGAAATATAAGCCTAACTTTTACTGTTTTGCTGCTTCTTGCATACATAGCTGCTCCAATCTAAATCTAAGCTTGCGGAGCGGCACATAGCACACTCTGCAGGTTTAAGTAATCATTATATCGAACTACCGTACAGTGAATTAAATAAGAGCTGCCCGCACTCACCACCATTTCAATAATAGCCAGTGTGGACACCATCGGGGAGCATGTGTGCGTGGACAGCGAAGTGACTGTGTTACTCAACGCTTTCACGTCGGCAACGGCCTCCCCTACTGCTTGGCGTGCATCACCCGTGCGAATAGATCTTTCTCCCGCCGTCGGATCATCTGCGGTGCAGGTTGCGCCGGATGCGCGGCAACTCTTCCTCGCCGCATATGTTCGGCCGGTCAGCTGCTCAGCCTGCTGCCAGCAGATCTCGCAGAGTTCTGCCCTCGGCATCCATCTCAGCGGAATGATGGTGATGCTTGTAACTAGGTAAATGGACTGTTATACAGTAATGGTCCTTGACTGCTGCAGCGATCTCAAGAGGTTCCTGCCCCGGCATCATCTCAGCGGTATGATGGTCATGCGTAATAGTAATGACAGGTATTGAACACAAGCTGCGCCAAGCAGATCTCGCAGAGCGCTTCCTGCCCTCGGCCGATCATCTCAGGCGCGTGCATTGCGGTCATGCTGTAATAGGTAATGAACAGGTATTGGAAGACAGCGGTGCTGCAGCAGATATTGGCAGTGTTCCTGCCCTCCGGCATTCCATCTCAGCCGAATGATGTGATGGCTGCAATAGGTAACGACTGTTTTTTCAGGCCTGCTGCAGCAGAGATCTCAAGAAGGGTTCCATGTCTCTTCTGGCATTCATCTCATGGGTATGCGGAATATATGCCTGTAATGACTGCTGCAGCTAAAATAAAAAATAATTAGTTTTATGCTTGTAATTAGCAAATTAACTTAGCATCATTTCTTAAATGTCATGGCAGCCTACCAGACATAAAATGTGCCTTATTGAGTGATGGAAGAAAATGTGCCAATCATTGAGTGCATTTCTTATTTCTAGTCTTAACTGCTAAATAGTCTTCCGCTCATATGATATTCTCGAACATATTTTCCTTGCACACTCTCCTGCTTACTTATTACATACAAATGTGTGCTGCTGCTGGCTTCACGGTAGCCTTGCCCTGTTGCAGCCTACCTTTACATTTACGTTGCATGGGTATGTTCTGTTCAATTACAATTTTTGAAATTAACGGTCATGCAACTAGGAGGAATCTGGGTGACACATATGCAATTGACTTCCCTTTAAACTCATTTTTGACTTATTCCTCTACACTGATTGAAGCATCATAAAGACTAGTATAGTACAGTAGCAGCTTTTATTTCTGCTTTCTCTCATTTGAAAACCTAACTTATTTATTATCAAGCAGCTAATAAACCGTAGTAGTGGTACAACGGGAAAAACTGGAAAATTATGCCTATTTACTGACAACATTATTTCTATCTTTGCTTGGATCTAGATAATAATTGTCGATGGTTGATTGATAAGCAGTAATTCTTTGCTCTCTAAACATAGACCAATCCGTGTCAATACGATACTTCCTAGTGCGGAGATATCAGCTCCTAAAAACCTCCCTCCCACATGCCAAAAACCCGATTCTCTGCGAAATCCACTTCTGTCCGCTATCCCTTCTTCCCATTCACGCGTCTAGCATTTCGGCTAGTCGGTTTTCCAGTCACCGCTTGGAGCGTTCTGATAAATTGATGTCACATGCCCAAGTTTGGTACTTGCTTACAGCGCGTGCTAGAACTTAATTAAAAAAAACATTGCGGCTCCATCATGACGGTTCATTGCCGTGCTAGACAAGAGTAATGGCAGATAAGGGCATAGCCGAGCCCCGAAAGTCACCTCCACCCTGCACCTCGCACCGCAAAATCATTCCATAAAAATATGGACGAAAACCTGAACTCTCACGAGAGCAACCTTAGATGGCGTTAGGTTAACGGAATAACTGGATAGCCAGCCGTGTGAGGCACTTGGGAGGGGAGTTTAGGAGCCATCTTATCTCCAGTCCTAGGAGTATTTTGTATGGACAAGCGGTTGCGTCTTTTTAGAGAGCAAAGAATTCTGCTAATTGCAATTACCATTAAAATTATTTCTAGACTCGCAGGCAAAGTAGAATAAGTTCATGTCGCTGAATATAGCCACTCCATTTTCCCGTTTTCCGTTTGTACACTCTACGGTTTATTAGCTCTTGTTATTATTATATTAAATGCCAAGTCACATGTGAAAGTAGGCCACTACTGATGGTCAGCTTCCAACTGCTTTACATCCAACGTACATAAACCTGAGACTTGATAATCATCCACTTATCCTGCTATTATAATTATTATAATAATAATCAGGTGGGTACCGTCCCCAGAAAAACTGTAGTTCATTTGGTACACACACCTACTGTACTAGTGATATCACACCGACACACAGGCACTGAGCGTTTCAATAAAATTATAATGCTAAATAATACGAAATCTATTTACCTAACAAGTCTTAATGTTTCTTACTCTCTTTCACTATTATTGCCAACTAATTGTCCTGTGAAATGCCGGTCCAAATGCTCATCTGCCCAACACACGCTGGCCATCCGCATGCTAGCTTGCTGTCAGACGATACACATAGAATATATAGCATGTAGGATTAAGCGTTCTGCCAAAATTTGCTTGACGCTCCTTGATTTCACTCGACAACTACAAACACAATACATTCAACCAATCCACTCCCATCTTGTTTCTTTTGAAGACAGTGTTCAGTGTTATAAAAACATACTGTCTATGTTCGTAACCAAGCTGCTGTCACGCAAAATCACAAAGAGCCTGAAGAAATTCTCGCCGTCATCGCTCCGTTGTGCAGTTAATGTAAATGGGCTGTCGGAATCAGGAAACACCACTAGGTGCTCTTTCGTGACCTCATATTTTGTTTTTTTACGCCACGCATTAATCTTGCAGACGCTCACTTTGCGCGCTTTGACGAGGCTTGTCGGGAGTTTGGAAGCAGCGTTGTAGTTTTCCAATAATGCACGTACGCCGGCTATACTAGTCCCGAAGTTTGCCTGCCAAATGCGGCATTATTCCGTGGAAACGACGGAACGGAGGAGAAGCGAAACTCAGTCTTGAAAAGGATGTAAAAATTAACGGGACTAGGAGCCTAGGACACACCTGTCGATTTTCTACGCTGCGCCGCTTGCGCACGATAAATACTCGGCTATGGTGCGGGTCGCGCACGGTCGTGCGCGGGTCGGGCTGGCGGCATCTCACGCGCAGCGTAATTTTCACGCTCCAGCTTGATCCCATACGCGCCGGCTGATCGCTCGCATTCAACGCGTTATCAACCGTTTGCATCTCTTGCATACTAAATTAACACCAGCGCCGCCCAACAACAATGGAACAATCGCGTATCGAACTGCGATTGTTTTTAGCAGCCAATGAAGCTGTATGCAACAAAAGTAGAAACACGTTGGACACGGACAGTATTGGTTACAGCTGTGCATGCGCAACTCGACCGGCATTCTAAATCTATTAGCTGGCGTTATTCAAAACCTAAAAGCTTCATCGCACCCCGTGTAATACCGCAATGTTATGTTGTTATTTGTTCTGGCTAAAGTCTTAGCTTTGGGGAGTTTGCTCGAGTCAATATTTCTTCCTGCATGCCAGATTGTTAATTGAATGAGTCGAAATCATGCACAATGCGCCCGAACCAAAACGTGCAGCAAAATTATGGAATGTTTTTTTCATTGAAAAAAAAAAATTTAAGGGCTTTTCTAAGCTATTTGGCTGAAATTAGAAAGCAGAAGAAGAGCAGATTGACATTTAAAAAGCCAAAAACGTGAGGCCCTACCAAGCTATGTCCATGTACTTGCCAGCCATTACATCAACTGACCAAAACAACGGAGCGAAGCGCGTCTCGAAGATTTCGTCAGCTTTGTTGTGATTTCGCGTGACACAGTCGGTTTTACTGAACACAGACAGTATGTGCTTCAGTGCTCGGTAATAATGAAAAAAATGTGCGTTGTCCTGCGGACAACCAGGCAATCTCAAATCGGCGTTGTCCGCAACAGTTAATTCTGTCCCAAAAATATCCTTCCACAATCTCTTATTTTCATATCAATAATAATATTAGATCAGAAAACACCCCAAAAACAGTGGCGTGCCAGGATTTTATCAGGGGGGCAAAACAGCAAACTACGAAAAATTAGTGGATGACCTTAACTATTTTACTGTCGCTAGCGCGAGTCCTCCTGCCTCTCTCCGACCTCTACGGCTCCTCTACCTCTCAGCCTCGCAATCTTTGTTTTGGCCGGCGACATTTTGTTCATTGTGTCTCTGCCTCTCAAGATATGCTAATTGTTTAGTGGTGGGTCGTTAGCATTCAAGCGAGATGTGCCGGGTGAATAATATAAAGCGGGCGGGTTGGTATCTATGGGTGGCCAAATCCCCCGCAAATTTTGGGAAACTTGCTGGTTTGCTGTTCCAAATCGAGTTTCACCTCTCATTAATCGAGAAAACCTGACATATACCAGTGTTGGATATAGCAGCCTGGCTCCATATTTATGTATTCACGACTTAGTTCTAGATTAAATTTCTTGATGAGCTAAAACACTTGGATTTGACCAAGTATAAATACTGAACATATTGTGCCAGCGTA